CATAACTGACAATGAATCATCAGCTACTAGCTAGTCACTAATGCCCTGTGGCCTGTGCCAGGTGGTGTTTGTGGGGGGCTGGTAGGAGGCTGGTGGGGGGATTAGTTTAGCGTCACTAGCTCGTTAAGTGTGCTCTCCCGCACCTGAAACAGTGACAATATTTACACTCTAATACCCTATACAACTATTTATTCATATTCAATGGTTGAATGTTACACATGTAAATTTACATCAATCAAATAATAAACTAATTCACATGTTAATAGATTAACTTACTAATTTCTGGAGTTTACTCATGAGTCTGTCGTTGAAGCATAATCCTTTTTTGCCGTTCTCTAACTCTAGGTGGCTGTGTAAAGGAAAATATTGATAAGAATAGATCCTGTTTAGTGAAATAAACTAACGGATCTCTATTACCAATCTCGATCTGTTACTATTAACACCGCTATCCGATTTCGAAAAGTGATAACATGTAGTTACATGATTTTAACTTATAAACACTTACAAATAGGGTTTCCCCGTGGTGCGGTTCTTACGCTCTAATATCACCTTTACCAACCCTTGGTTGGTCGATTCCGTTACAGCAGTGGAAGTAGACATTCTACAAAAATATGGTTAAAATATATGCAAATCAAAGAGGGGTATCAAAGTTTTGTAATACCACAATTGAAAGAACCAAAAGAAATACAGTAAAATAAAGCATCGATTCCCAGTCGTTCGTTCCTTTCGTTCTAATATCGTCCCGACCCTGGGATTATCGATCTCCCGGTTCATTGTACTAACGGAGTCGGACATGCTTCTGTAATTAAAATAGATACAAATCAAGGTTTTAATTGAAATTTAATAACCTGCAAGGTGCACTTTGTGCTCATACTAAGTTTTAAATATAATGTTAGTTAGATTATAGATCTCATAATATACAATTAACATTATTATGTACACAAACATTCAACCGATGAAGTCCAACGGATTTAAAAAATTTACTTTATGGAACGAAGAAACTGCGCGCAGTCTGAGGGTATTCGTGTAAATACAGCACCTTACATCTAACAATAACACATATCCCATGTGGACACATCACTGTGAAAAGTCCCTTACCCTTCCCACCTATCTGAACGAACTTCCTAGTAAAAGAATAATGATCGGTGTTATGATATATTATTCGTTCTACCCGTTTTTTTTTTCAAGAAGCTTTTTTGTCCAATTTCAGGCAGAAATCCAAATACTGAAGTTAAAAACTTTTTCCTCTTCGTTATTTTTAATGGACATTATTTACTGACATTTACTAAGCTATACTGACATCAGTTCCCTCATATCATGGTTAAATCTTATGTAATCGCTTTTAGTTTTAGATAATATAGTCTGTGATGCTTGTTCGTAATATCTTCAACGCGCTCCTTACTGTAATATCTTTATTAAAGGTAAAATACAAATTAGTGCTGTAACAATGTCCTTGCCAGAACGTCCTACCAGAATTGCAACCAATTAATCAGTCAACTATGGGTGATAAGCCTGAGTTATTTAAGTAACTATTAAAAAGGGAGATTTAAATTTCGAGGTTCCTACACTTACCATTCCTTACATTCTTTACATATCACAGAAAAACATCATATCTGAAGAAAAAATAATGGCGAAAAGAAATGATAACAGACAGTTAAGAGAAGAAAAAGAAAAAATAGCAAAGAATCGAAAAGAAAAGAATAGAAATGAGTAAAACTAATAGAAATAAAATGAATGAAAATAACACAATGTTAATCTAATTGCTATATAATTGATCTTAACTATTTGATTTTAATACATTTTAGCACTGTCAGTACTAGCAATAGGAATAATTGTTAAGTTATGCCTATTTTAGTAGTAATAGGTACGTTATCGTTCTTCTTCTAGTCATTACACAATATCTAGAAGCCTTGCTGGAAGGAGGAGTTTCGATTCTGGCCACCTGCTGGCCGCTGGGCCACAGGCCGAACCATCCGTCTTCTTCTGGCTTTTTATCGCTGCCCCAACACTGATAAAAGGGTAATCCCTGTAGCCCCTACCAACCCAAGAAGTTTTCTGTGACTCACCTTCAGTTTCTCTGAAATGTGAAATTCGTTATGGTACAGCGACCATCTATCATTAAACGATCTCGAGCAGGAAATCAGAACAACTTTTGGTATCAACGGTTGTTTTAGATTCTTGTAATTGTAGTGCTCCTGTACTTCATACGAGCGATAATATGATGCTGCCATCGGCTCAGTGGCCCTGCCATCTTGGTCTTCCTTATTAAATTAAACTAAGATTCTTTATCTGACTCGACCAGTTCTTGGGCCGGGTGGATGGTGTCAGGGGCCGGTGTCGGGGGCCGGGTGGGCGATGGTCCAGCTTGTTAACTTTAAATGGATCACTATGCAATGAAACACACCAGTTGTTTCCCTGACAGTCTTCTCACTTACAACAACATTCTTGTTGTTAGACAGTTTGACTGATGGTCCAGGCTGGGACAATGCCTCGTCAAAACTAGGTTTATCAGACATTTCTAGAAGTATACAGTATGGTTAGTAAAGGTTCTGAAGACAAGACCGAAACGAATTTGATCAAGTACAAACTAACAATAACACTCCTAGTAATATTGATAAAAATATTCACAAGCATATAAAAATTAAATGTAGATTTAGATGGTTTAAACTCCTTTTCTTGGAGTGTGATGATGCTAAGCCAAAGCCACCACTTTTTGAACCACTCTATAAAACGATAAGATAACATGATAAATCAGTGAGTCAGTAAATTTTATAATACTGTATGAATATTTGACAATTTGAGAATTTGACAATGAACTGTTTAGAATTGTGTTCCAATAATAAACATTGTATTCAAAGTTTTTAATATTGTGTGTGTAGGATTCTAATAATCTGAATAATTTGACCGGACCTCTTTCTGTTGGGGGCTGGGCGGCGGGCGGGGTATTCGGTTGAGCCGCTTGTACGGCTTGGCTTCGGGACAGTTCCAACCTTCTTGCAGCTGAAATTAATTATTCCATTAGCCTTAATGTTGTATCTTTGATTTGTTTACTACACACATTGTGGCTAGACATCGGTCACCTCAGCGATTGTGAATGATAGAATATAAACATACAAAACAGACTAGAATTAGTAATTACAACAAACTAACCGGTAACAGGTGCGCTGCCTCCTCGGCTTACTGGAAGCCTTTCATGGTGCAGCTGTCTTCAGGTTAACCACGCTACAATTTTGAATTGTTATATTCATCTTTGATCTTATATCCTAGTAGTAAATAATTACATATTAAAAGCCTCTGATAAATAATATGCATGATCAATTACTCTTCTTTCTTTAAATCATATCGTAGAAGAACCCTCCATACAATTTCTTACTAACAACTAATCTTACTCAAGCACAACGAAATTATAAATTATTCCAAATGTGGGCGTGCACTAGCGTCTTCTGGTCATACTTCTTTTTTATACCCTCACAACATCATCATCTTGCTGTTAAAAACACGTACTCTATCTCCATCCATGTCCCACTGAACCACCGCAGAGAATTTAGAACTGGATATTCCTCTCCTGAATCCAAATTGCATAGGGTGAAGAAAGGATTCGAGGTCAAGAATCAAGATCGATCTTTTTTCCACTTTATATTAAAAAGAAAATTGAAATTTCGGGGTTCCTTACAATTACCATTCCTTACATTTACTCATCACAGAAAAACATTATATCAGAAGAAAAATAATGATAAAAAAGAAATGATAACAGACATCTTTGAGAAGATAAAGAAAAAAGTGACAATAAGAAAGAACAAAAATAAAAGAATAGAAATTAGCATACATAAATAGAAATGAAAGAAAACAATAGAAACGAACAGAATTGAATAGAAATAAAATGAAAAAGATTACATGATGTTAATTTAATCGTTATATTATTGATCTTAACTATTAATTGGATTTAACACTAGTTTGAATAGAATGCATTATCGGTTAAAGGGCTTCCACCTCTCTAATAATCTCAGTCATTTTTTTCGTCTGAAAACTTTCCTGGAACTTTCTTGTTGGTTGTAATCCTGTATACTTTTCCGGAGGAATTCCCTCCAAGAAATGAACTCCTTCCTTACCACGACGTCTTCCTCTTCCAGCCACCTTCAGTTTACAATATAACTTATATTGTTAAACTTTTAAGTAACTGTGAAAATAAAAACTGAAAGAAAAATAACTTATGATATCAAGAAAAGAAAATTTAATTCTTATAAATGTGTATAATGTGTATGGCAAGTTTTTTATGCTCGACTAAAGTTCTATTTTTAAATATATTGATACTTTTAAATAAGAATATCATATTTAAATGAGCGAAATGACTCCGCTTACTCTGTCTCCATGTACACGCGGTTTATTAAACCGCATATTTCCTCCATTCTCGTGCCGTCATCCAAGTATACTCGGAACAGGTTGTCCTCACTCAATGTTAAATTTGCGGTTGTCATATCTGGAAATATAGGCAAATTTCCGTCTCAACGTATTCTTAAGAGAATTGCTGTATCAAATTTTCATTTTCGACTCTGGTTTGACCTTAAGACAAAGAAGCGATGCTCAAGTAAAGATCTATTCAGCTGTAAATGCTCAACTAATATAAAACAATGGTAGAGTAATATATCAGATAATGAACGTATGAACATTATCTGAACCTATGTCTAGCACAAGTGCAATGTAAAAGCCTTCGACAAAAGCCTCTTGTATTTTCTTTTCCTCTTCTGATTCTTTTTTGTTCAAATCTGGTTCTTCGACTGGAAAAATAGATAAATACAGTTATTACAAAACTTGTACGCATTGAATATTGAATAATTTATATCGGCTCATTTGTAAGTCTAAAGGCGATATAATTTCCTATTTTCCATCCTTCCTCCCACCCTATCCCCTACTTCTTTCTACAATTTCCTATTTTCTGTCCCTTTTCCCCTCCTTTTCCTTACTACTTTCTATCTCAGAAAGTAACCCCCCTATTTTTTCAGATGTCTGGACGACATACTGCTGGAGAAATACCAGGACTCTGATGGTGGCAGTGATGGTGAGACTGGTGAAGCTGATGAGTCAGATGATGAGGTTATGGAGGTGGAGGATGCCCCCAAGATAGTCTTCACTTCTAAGAAGAGTGTGGATTCCACCAACGTTGATGAAGGTTTGTACTTTATCAGTTTACTGGGTTATCTATTTTCTATTACTATTTTTTGTCTAAGATTTAATTTTACTCTCAAAATTAGATAAACTAGTCACTAGTGTTAAAGATTTATGGGTAGTGATTTATTTACTTCTTTATACGTTAGTTATTAGATTGTTCAATCTCTAAAACTTTCATCTGATTTCTTGAAATATTGAAAACCACACCTTCAGAGAGCGTCTCGTTGAGAGAAGTCCTGGCTGAGGAGAAAGAGTCCGATTCTGAGGAGGAAGATGGGAGTGCTAAAACAGACGAGCCAGAAGCTAAAAAGGTAATTAAATAATTACTTTTAGCACTCTTTAATTTCATATCTATATTTCTTGTCACTAGTGCAATGTACATGTGTACACAACTCTCATCTAAATTAAACTTCCTATCCAGGGGAAGAGTTTCTTAAAACGTGAAAAGAAACGAAAGAAGGAAGAAGCAGAAGAAGAGATCAGGAAGATAGAAATGAAGAGTAACTCATCTTCTCTTGAGACTGAAGACGATTTCGAGAGGTACATTTAACTTGCCTTTGTTGCACTTTATATAAAAACCATGCTTTATTCACGTATTCACACGAGTGCAAAATTAACCGGCAATTTTCTTGTGCCATGCTGCTTCATTTTATCAGTGGGTATTTCTAATCATATCAAATAATTGAACTTACAGCAACAAATTTAATTGTTATTATTATTGTTAATTATATTAATATTATAAATTAGGGAGGTAGCGAGTAAGCCCGACAGTGGAGCTAGCTGGGTGTGCTACATGGCGTACTGGCTCGGACTCGGCAATGTGGACAAGGCTAGACTCACAGCCAAACGAGCACTGGATACCATCAACTATCGGTAAGAAGAGCACAGAAATCAATTTGATATTTTATATACACCGATGAACATTAAACAGTTTCAAAGCAGTGTCGTGTAACTTTTTAACTATTACTGCACTGTATCATCTATAGATCTTTGCCCATTTTCCCTATTTACTCCTCATCTTTTGGTCAAATGCAATGGGCATGGGTTGCCCCTCCCCAGGCCATAGTGATTACAGCGATCAAATATTTCCCATTCCTCCCAGACTAGAAGAAGAGAAGCTGAATGTATGGTCGGCCCTGTTTAACTTAGAGAACTCGTTCGGTACCCACGAGGGGCTGATGGCAGTCTGCAAGGATGCGGCTGCTGTCAACGACAGTAAGGCTGTCTTCCTCCGGCTTGCTGCTGTCTTGGACAAGTCTAAGAAATACCAGGTAAATTGATGGTTGTTTGTGTGTATTCGCCGTTCTGAGATTAAGTCCAAGATCAGAATAATGCATGACATTATAACGACATAACACGTGATTATATGACGTCACAATGTCACTTCCCCAGGAATTGGACGACGTGTACAGCTCGGTACTGCTGAAGAAGTACAAGAGAGCGAGGAAGGTTTGGTGCAACTACTGCTCCACTCTCGCCACCCAACAACGTCTAGATGAGATGAGAGAGCTCCTCGCTAAAGCTCTCAAATCCTTACCCAAACATAAACGTAAGTTTTTAAGTCACGCCTTGGCATGTCGTAAACACCCGAATTAAGATTATGGGGTTGGACACCCCAATTGTGTTTCTTCCCCTGTTACGATATATAGACCGATCCTAAATCATCCAAACAACCACAATCCTATCTCCAGATATCAGGACGATATGTCACTTTGCACAGACGGAGTACAAGCAAGGAGATCCAAACCGAGGCAGCACAATGTTCGAGAACGTTTTGACAACTTATCCTCACAGACTGGATCTGTGGGCGGTTTATCTGGATAAGACCATTGCTCTCAATGACCACCAGCAGTCTAGGTAAGGGAAAATAGCTGCTCTTCAAGCTGACAACTTATCTGGGTAATATTTTCGTGAATATAATGTCGATTGAGTACACTTTTCATCAATAAATTGCTACGGATTCGTGATCTAGAAAAGTTAAAAACATAAATTTAATGATAAATATGCATGTAATTTTGATCATTACCTAAGCCTGTGTTATTGATATCTGGTTGATTGCTTTTACCATGATTTAATCGAGTTTCTCTCTCAGGTTGCTACTTGACAGAATGGTTGGACTAAAACTCCCAATAAAAAAGATGAGGTTCTTCTTCAAACGGTACATAGATTTCGAAACAGCTCACGGAGATGAAGCCAAATTGAACAGTATCAGAGAAAAAGCACAAAACTATCTCAGCTCAAACCAAGACGACTAGCGGGACATGAAAATTCGATTTTTAACTTATTTTAACCGATTTATGAGACCTGACGTTTTACGTTTTGATAAGGATAGTTTTTAACAACGATTATTTTTATCTAGGCTTGCCTAGAATAACTGATGCAGCTAACATCTTTAATTGAAACTTAACAGGTTTTAAGAATCAATATTGTTACATTCTATCGGATCGAGACTAAAGAAGCTGTTATCAACAAAGTACAGCCTATATTGTATTGGTTTATCATTTTAACTTATGATCAAAAGAAATATATTTCATTTCGCTACAATTACCTAAATTAACTTCTATTGAAAAAAGAAAAACGCTTTCTTGAAATCACGTGAATTTTATGGATTGTTCGAGCATTAAATCTCAATATGGACCAGGTTTATGAGTCCATCCAATCTGTCAAATTAGTGTTCAGAAATTTTCATATTTAAAAATGGGACAGAAATTAGAAAATATAAAATTTTCGTTTAATTAAACTACAGTGTGCTTCATCCGACCGAAATCAATCCTCCTTTCAATCGTGCGATTTATAGTATAGACTTTTTAAAATACAACTTTTCGTTTTGTTAAGCTTTCTGCTGTGGGCTACCTCCGACAGAAATCAAACTTTTAGCACCTCAATCGTGTCATATGGCATCTAAAGTTGACTTACTAATTGGTTTCTGGTGACAAAATCTGTTGAAACTGTAAAGGGTGTAAAATTTCGGTCCTGGAAATTTCATCTTCAAAAACTGAAAATGGGACAGAGATTTGGAGAATATGATTTTGCAATTTTATTCGGTATTTAGGCTTCCAGTACCTCAATTTGGTTTCTTACCATCATCAATTAACTGACTTATTGGTTTCTGGGCAAACATTTCATCTAATCTTTCAAATTTGTGTTCAGAAAATTTCACATTTGAAAATGGGACAGACTTTTTAAAATACAACTTTTCGTTTTGTTAAGCTTTCTGCTGTGGGCTTCCTCCGACAGAAATCAAACTTTTAGCACCTCAATCGTGTCATATGGCATCTAAAGTTGACTTACTAATTGGTTTCTGGTGACAAAATCAGTCGAAACTCGAAACTGTAAAATTTCGGTCCTGGAAATTTCATCTTCAAAAACTGAAAATGGGACAGGGATTTGGAGAATATGATTTTGCAATTTTATTCGGGATTTTGACTTCCAGTACCCCAATTTGGTTTCGTACCATCATCAATTAACTGACTAATTGGTTTCTGGGCAAAAATTTTATCTTATCTGTAAAATTTGTCTTCAGAAAATTTCACATTTGAAAATGGGACAGACTTTTTAAAATACAACTTTTCGTTTTGTTAAGCTTTCTGCTGTGGGCTTCCTCCGACAGAAATCAAACTTCCAGCACCTCAATCGTGTCATATGGCATCTAAAGTTGACTTACTAATTGGTTTATGGTGACAAAATCAGTCGAAACTGTAAAATTTCGGTCCTGGAAATTTCATCTTCAAAAACTGAAAATGGGACAGAGATTTGGAGAATATGATTTCGCAATTTTATTCGGTGTTTTGACTTCCAATACGGATGATGATTAATCACTCTACACTCGACTGTCACGTGACTTTTTCAACCCGTTCTCTAGCTGGTCCTGAACGACTATTCGAAACCCTAACCCTCTAATCTGATCCCAACCCTAACCCTAACCCAATCCTTAGCAAAAGCATATGCTGAAACCCTAACCCTAACGAGAAATTATAATAACTTCCTTATACGGTCATATCACGTGATCAAGACAGTTTTTCGCCAATATCTCGTCAGGGGAGCTTTTAACCCCTATGTCATGGGGGTTGATTCGGAATCAGCGTCCGAAAATACATCGATTGAAGTTGGTTTCAACTGTCGGGGACCCTTTTAGAACAATCTCGAAGATCGACTGTAGAGTGATTTAGCACGCTCGTTCCAATACCTCAATTTGGTTTTGAACCATCATCAATTAACTGACTAATTGGTTTCTGGGCAAAAATTTTATCTTATCTGTAAAATTTGTCTTCAGAAAATTTCACATTTAAAAATGGGACAGACTTTTGAAAATACAACTTTTCGTTTTGTTAAGCTTTCTGCTGTGGGCTTCCTCCGACAGAAATCAAACTTCCAGCACCTCAATCGTGTCATATGGCATCTTAAGTTGACTTACTAATTGGTTCATGGTGACAAAATCTGTTGAAACTGTAAAATTTCGGTCCTGGAAATTTCATCTTCAAAAACTGAAAATGGGACAGAGATTTGGACAATATGATTTTGCAATTTTATTCGGGATTTTGACTTCCAGTACCTCAATTTGGTTTCGTACCATCATCAAATAACTAACTAATTGGTTTCTGGGCAAACATTTCATCTTATCTGTAAAATTTGTGTTCAGAAAATTTCACATTTGAAAATGGGACAGACTTTTGAAAATACAACTTTTCGTTTTGTTAAGCTTTCTGCTGTGGGCTTCCTCCGACAGAAATCAAACTTCCAGCACCTCAATCGTGTCATATGGCATCTAAAGTTGACTTACTAATTGGTTTATGGTGACAAAATCAGTCGAAACTGTAAAATTTCGGTCCTGGAAATTTCATCTTCAAAAACTGAAAATGGGACAGAGATTTGGAGAATATGATTTTGCAATTTTATTCGGGATTTTGACTTCCACTTCCAGTACCTCAATTTGGTCTCGTACCATCATCAATTAACTGACTCATTGGTTTCTGTGCAAATATTTTATCTAATCTGTAAAATTTGTGTTCAGAAAATTTCACATTTGAAAATGGGACAGACTTTTTAAAATACAACTTTTCGTTTTGTTAAGCTTTCTGCTGTGGGCTTCCTCCGACAGAAATCAAACTTCCAGCACCTTAATCGTGTCATATGGCATCTTAAGTTGACTTACTAATTGGTTTATGGTGACAAAATCAGTCGAAACTGTAAAATTTCGGTCCTGGAAAATTCATCTTCAAAAACTGAAAAAGGGACAGAGATTTGGAAAATATGATTTTGCAATTTTATTCGGGATTTTGACTTCCAGTACCTCAATTCGGTTTCTTACCATCATATATTAACTGACTAATTGGTTTTGGGGCAAACATTTTATTTTATCTGTAAAATTTGTCTTCAGAAAATTTCACATTTGAAAATTGGACAGACTTTTGAAAATACAACTTTTCGTTTTGTTAAGCTTTCTGTTGTGGGCTTCCTCCGACAGAAATCAAACTTCCAGCACCTCAATCGTGTCATATGACATCTTAAGTTGACTTACTAATTGGTTTATGGTGACAAAATCAGTCGAAACTGTAAAATTTCGGTCCTGGAAATTTCATCTTCAAAAACTGAAAAAGGGACTGAGATTTGGAGAATATAATTTTGCAATTTTATTCGGGATTTTGACTTCCAGTACCTCAATTTGGTTTCGTACCATCATCAATTAACTGACTAATTGGTTTCTGGGCAAACATTTCATCTAATTTTTCAAATTTGTGTTCAGAAAATTTCACATTTGAAAATGGGACAGACTTTTTAAAATACAACTTTTCGTTTTGTTAAGCTATCTGCTGTGGGCTTCCTCCGACAGAAATCAAACTTTTAGCACCTCAATCGTGTCATATGGCATCTAAAGTTGACTTACTAATTGGTTTATGGTGACAAAATCAGTCGAAACTGTAAAATTTCGGTCCTGGAAATTTCATCTTCAAAAACTGAAAATGGGACCGAGATTTGGAGAATATGATTTTGCAATTTTATTCGGGATTTTGACTTCCAGTACTTCAATTTGGTTTCGTACCATCATCAATTAACTGACTAATTGGTTTCTGGGCAAAAATTTTATCTTATCTGTAAAATTTGTCTTCAGAAAATTTCACATTTGAAAATGGGACAGACTTTTGAAAATACAACTTTTCGTTTTGTTAAGCTTTCTGCTGTGGGCTTCCTCCGACAGAAATCAAACTTCCAGCACCTCAATCGTGTCATATGGCATCTTTAGTTGACTTACTAATTGGTTTATGGTGAAAAAATCTGTTGAAACTGTAAAATTTCGGTCCTGGAAATTTCATCTTCAAACACTGAAAATGGGACAGAGATTTGGACAATATGATTTTGCAATTTTATTCGGGATTTTGACTTCCAGTACCTCAATTTGGTTTCGTACCATCATCAATTAACTAACTTATTGGTTTCTGGGCAAACATTTCATCTTATCTGTAAAATTTGTGTTCAGAAAATTTCACATTTGAAAATGGGACAGACTTTTGAAAATACAACTTTTCGTTTTGTTAAGCTTTCTGCTGTGGGCTTCCTCCGACAGAAATCAAACTTCCAGCACCTCAATCGTGTCATATGGCATCTGAAGTTGACTTACTAATTGGTTTATGGTGACAAAATCAGTCGAAACTGTAAAATTTCGGTCCTGGAAATTTCATCTTCAAAAACTGAAAATGGGACAGAGATTTGGAGAATATGATTTTGCAATTTTATTCGGGATTTTGACTTCCAGTACCTCAATTTGGTTTCGTACCATCATCAATCAACTGACTAATTGGTTTCGGGGCAAACAATTTATTTTATCTGTAAAATTTGTCTTCAGAAAATTTCACATTTGAAAATGGGACAGACTTTTGAAAATACAACTTTTCGTTTTGTTAAGCTTTCTGCTGTGGGCTTCCTCCGACAGAAATCAAACTTCCAGCACCTCAATCGTGTCATATGGCATCTGAAGTTGACTTACTAATTGGTTTATGGTGACAAAATCAATCGAAACTGTAAAATTTCGGTCCTGGAAATTTCATCTTCAAAAACTGAAAATGGGACAGAGATTTGGAGAATATGATTTTGCAATTTTATTCGGGATTTCGACTTCCAGTACCTCAATTTGGTTTCGTACCATCATCAATTAACTGACTAATTGGTTTTGGGGCAAGCATTTTATTTTATCTGTAAAATTTGTCTTCAGAAAATTTCACATTTGAAAATGGGACAGACTTTTGAAAATACAACTTTTCGTTTTGTTAAGCTTTCTGCTGTGGGCTTCCTCCGACAGAAATCAAACTTCCAGCACCTTAATCGTGTCATATGGCATCTTAATTTGACTTACTAATTGGTTTATGGTGACAAAATCAGTCGAAACTGTAAAATTTCGGTCCTGGAAATTTCATCTTCAAAAACTGAAAATGGGACAGAGATTTGGAGAATATGATTTTGCAATTTTATTCGGGATTTTGACTTCCAGTACCTCAATTTGGTTTCGTACCATCA